TAAAATGCTGTAATTATTTTTGGTTTGTACTGTAAACATCATGCACGATTAATGCCCTGGCCCAGAAAGCCATGTGAGCCGCGTCACTGCCTCGCTTTCTGTGACTTATGTCGCAGGAGCTGGTGACTTTGACAGTTGGGAGGTGCAGTGACCTGAAGAGTGTGGGCAGCAGCCCTCGCAACTTGAACCAAAGGATAAGTGACACTAGATCTGGGCAGGGGTCGGGAGGCAGCCGAGGTGCCCAGGAGCAGAACCCAGGGGGGTGTTCAGTCTAAGTTGTAGCCCTGCGTGGTATGGGGCTGGGAGGGTGACAGCTGAGCAGAATGCACTCCCTGGGCACCTGCTGGCTATACCCTGGTCCTGGCTGTGTCAAAAGGGCCGCTGCAGGCTGAATCTGGAGCCTGTATTGGGCTCCCTTGGTGGCTTGCTTTTCCCTTCATTCATCCCCTTAACAGCTCTTGCCCTGATTATTAATACGCATTTCCTTGTGCCTTTATTTGCTTCGTGGCTCAGTCTTCCCTCTGGCCCGTGAGTGCTACAAAGTCTGAGGCCTGGTCTCTTCTCTCCCGTGTTGAGAAGGACCCCGGCCCCACTCAGATACTCACAGAATGAGTTCGTGGTACAAGCAGTATGAACAAGTGAATACCGACAGGAGAGAAGAGGCTGGTCGTGAAAGGCTGCTGCTGAGCAGAGATCTGGTTTAACCTACACCAAAAGGGTCAGGATGGGCTTTGTGGTTCCAAAGCCAAAACCACGGAGAAGAACAGAAAAGTCCACCCAAAGGCTACTGGGCAACTCAGAAAATGCAGAATCCAGGCCTGATTCGGAGCCCATGCTGTCAACACCCCAGAAAAGAGCCCCGATGAGTTCATGCTTTCCCAGCCACAGACACAGCCACGTTTACTATTGCAAAGTTCGAGATTCCTCCTCGGCCCATAACTGGTTGAAGACGAGGAGTCCGTGGTATCCCAGCTCTCAGCAAGAGCTGGCCAGTCCCATGAAGGGGGCAGTCTGCCCTCCCCCAGTGTGGCCCGCCTGCGGTTTTGCTGGCAAGCCACAGCAGACCCACAAATCAGCCTGCCCGGCTCTCCCTAACTTGCCTGCATTATGTTCATTTGCTGGGTGGTGATAAATATTAGAATAAAATAAACCAAAGATGGCTGGTGAGGCTCTGTTAGCTATCTTTATGGTTTCCCCAGCAGCTGAATGACAGCTCAGCTTGGGAGCAAACAGTCTCTTTCCACCAAGTAAATTTAGCCTTGGGAAAGATGAACATCAGCTAACTCCTGAGCTGGGATGGTTGGTGCCAGTCAGTAAATCAGTCAGATTTTAATTACTGGACGGATGACAGGGAGCAGTGACAGGTTGCAGTCCACGGGAGAGCATTCCTCCAAAGGCGCTTTAAAACCAGAGAGCACTTTAAGAGGGAGAACCAAGTGAACAGAGCACAGAGCAAGGCTCCACTCTAGCAGCGGGTGGGGTCACCCCCAATCCTTTTAACCCCTTCCTGCTTGGATGTGGCCCTGGCCAGGCAGGGAGGTCTCGGACCCATTACAGAAGTTTCCTTCCTTGCCTCTCTCTCTTTTAAATTTCCCCCTCGCTTTTCCTTCCTCTCAGGCCTGTGATTTTTAATAGGTTCCTACAGCTCTTTGCCTCAGCAGCTGTTTCATGCCAAGAAAGCCACGGCAGATTTGTAAAGTGGCGAACCCTGCTAATTAGTCGGATGAAGTTGCCTTCCTGACAGTGGCCCTGGCGTCGAAGAAGGTGATGTACCTTAAAGTGACTGCATGGGGAAGCCTTTTCTATTGTTCTCGTTGTGCACTTCCCATCCGTATTACCGATTCCGTGATAATCATGCTTACTTGGAAATCCTAAACCTGCAGCTGCTCCTTCCAGGCCTGGCTCCCAGCAGAAAGCTCCCTGCCTGTGATGAACCCTCCTGGAGATACGGTGACCTTCTCTGGGAACGCACCAGGGTGGTGGCAGAGGAGGCATTAGGATGTGTGCACAACAATTCACCTGGTGCAAGGAGGAGGGTATATTTGAAAGCTTTCTGTTATTATAATAAAATATTCAAGTCTGGGAAATATTAAAGAGTTAGGCTGGGGGCCGGGGATTTAGCTCAGTGGTTACGGTGCCTGCCTCGCAAGCGCAAGGACTGAGTTCAATCCCCGACACCAAAAAAAAAAAGAGGCTGGGTGTGGTATCCACACCCATAATCGTGGCTCTCTGGGAAGTTGAGGCAGGAGGATTGCAAATTCAGGCTCAGCCTCAGCAACTCAAGGATTGAGCAAGATTCTATCTCAAAATTGAAGAAACAACTTAAGAGCCAGGGAGGTACCTCAATATAAAGACCCTGGGCTCAGTCCTTAGTACAAGAAAGAAAGAAAGAAAGAAGTTACTTATTGCTACTATCAGCTGTTCTTTAATGTGCATAATTGTTTGTGCTCTACTTTTATATGACTGGCAGCACTGTAGGTTAGTTTGGATCAGCATTGCCACACACGTAATACTCTGTGCTGTGACACTGGTGATGGCTACCATTGGGCAGTAGGAACTGTTGGGCTGTATTACAGTCTTATGGTCCACTCTCATGTAAGTAGGCCATCATCGACTGAAACATCTCCATTTGGTGCAGAGGTGTAATTCTGTGTGAATCAGCCAGCAGCAATAATATTTTGTGGCAAAGAATTCTATACCTTAATGGCTTACAACAGCCAACATCCAGTTCTCACTCTGGGCCTCCAGGACTGAGTTTTACCTCAGGCCATTGGTCCAAATTGAGTCTGATCCATATGCTTCACTTCCAGGGACTAGGCTGAAGGGATAGTGTCTACCTGAGGCATATCCCTGTCCTGGAAAACTGCGGGAGGGCCAGAGGACAAGCCAAACCATGCACACGCATTCAAAACCAGTGGTTACTTCAAATCTACTGAACACCCATTAACCAAAGAGGTCCTATGGCAAGACCAAAGTCAATGGGGCACCTACTCCATTGGGAGGGATGGCAGAGTCACATCACAAAAGACGCAGATATAAAACCCCATCACAAGGAGGGAGGAGGAATGGGGAACAACAATCCAACCTATCACAAATTTACCTTTTACTACTGCAAAAGTCTAAAAGGCAAATACGACAAATTGTTTCTTTGTTAAAAACCATCAGTTGTTCTTTATCAACACTGAGAAAATCTCTAAAGTCTTTAGCAGGAGGGGTGGGTCCCTTCATTTGGTGCCTGCCTATATTTCTAGTCTTGACTGACCATTCTTTGAAGACCTCCCTCGTTATCCTCCATCTGATCCAGAAATGTCCTTACCTGGCCCCGTCTTCATCAACTCAGAGATAGCCAGGTCTGGCCATTCCTTCTAGAAAACACATCCTCAGAGTTGTACAACATCTCAAGTGCCTAAGCCTGTAGATTTCACTGAGCTGAATTTTGACTAGAATCACATGAGTATATTTCCAGACCTGTTTACACTTGGTTGACTTGTAATTGGTGCAATTTAATAAATTGTGCTAATTGAGTAAAGAGAGGAAATGTATATTTTCTACATGAGAACTAAGTTGAAAGCTTTGGAAAGACTCAAAAGATATGTATTGCTTACTGATAAAAGTTCCTGCTTGTTTGAGAAATTATAGCACATAAGTGACGTCGTGAAGGTCAAGAAATATTTTGTACTTAAGAGTTTGCACAAGTGTTTCCCCACTTTTGAGAGCTGAGCTAGAAGATAAGAATAGAATGTCCCAGTGTGGCCCATTCAAGGAGGGTGACACAAGTTCCACTTGCTAGTTATTCACCAATCAAAGGGTTGGGACTTTCCTTTATATGTTTTTACACATTAACTTTGTCTTTGTTTCCCAGCTTATGGAGGGAGATCTGCTGACTGTAACAGCACTAGGGGAGGCGGTAGGTAGAGTTAATAGGAGAGGGTCCTACTACATTCTCTGTGTTGTCCTGTTTTATTTGCACTGCAGTGGCCCCCAGGATCCAGGAATGGCCAGACCCACCTGGCCAAAGGGCATGTGCACCTGGAGAGGGCGCTTGTATTTCTTTCTCCAGCTGTGGGCCCCATGACTCCATCCCGAGCCATCAGTCACAGATGGGCTCTGCTTCCTGTGATGCCTCTGCCTGCCCAGAAAGCCCAGGCCAGAAATAACAACTGGGCCTTAGGGAGGCTCCAGCAGGGAGCCTGGGCCCCGTGTGAGAACTGAGATGTGATAAACACATCTGTATCTTCCTCCCAGAAATACTGCCCCATGTCTGCAAATGAATTTCTCTTCCCAGGGGGGGCCCTGCAATGCACTTGAACTCTGATTTGTTCTCAGCACTTCATACTCAGCTTCAAGAATAATTGTAATATCCAGACTTCTGTTGGGAGGATGTTGTAATGGAAATACAGTATTTTCCAAGGATTAAACAGAGCAATCTACAGTGAATGGAGGCCGCTCCCTGGTCTCTGCACAATTGTAAATATAATTTTTAAT